GGAGTCAGGAGGACCTGAGTTCAGATGTGGCCTCAGACACTTGACACTTACTAGCTGTGTGACCCTGGGCAAGTCACTTAAACCCGATTGCTCATCAAAAAAGGCAACAAAACAAACCCCCAAACTGGAAAATAGTAACTAAAAGATAATCCCCAAATTGCTTATATTTAGCTTTGAAACACAATCATAATCACAATACATGTATATATATAAACATAAAGGGGAAACTTGGGTATGAAGTAGTAAGAGAAATTCTGGAGCCCTAATTTTATAGACCAGAAAAATTCTATTGAGTGCGTGTATAGGTGTTAATTTAAAGGGAAGGAAAGAAACAAGCATTTATTAAGTGCCTACTATGTACCAGGTGCTTTGTGAATATTAACTCCATCTTTACAATAATCTTGAGAATTAGGTGCTACTATGAATCCCATTTTACTGATAGAGAACTGGGGCAAACTGAGGTTAAGTGGGTCACATAGCTATTAAGGAAGTATATGAGTCAGGATTTGAACTCAGGTCTTCCTGACTTGAGGCATCATCTAGGTGACTAAAGGAGCAGTAGGTAGAGGGTAGATGGTGTGGTTCTGGTTGTGGGTGTGTTATATCCTTTCCTTCACCTGTCACCTGTAATTAATGTCTAGACACCAAAGTACCTAAGGGAGTGGAAGAATCCCCCTTCTCCCATCTGGAGACATCATGCTCAGAGCCTCTTGAGAGGAGAAAGGCAGAAGCATTAACAACTCACAACACAAGCCCTACCTAGAAAACTGTCCCTTTAAAAGGTCATTGCATCTATCCTCTTGCCTCCCTTGATCTTAGCCAGAAGAGGCTTCCTTCTCTGTTTTTCTTTTTTTGTTTTTTTGGTTTTTTTGGCTCGGCAATGGGGTTAAGTGACTTGCCCAGAGTCACGCAGCTAGTAAGTGTTACGTGTCTGAGGCCGGATTTGAACTCAGGTCTTCCTTAATCCAGAGCTGGTGCTCTATCCATTGCACCACTTAGCTGCCCCCTCCTTCTCTGTTTAAAGAATTTTCTGACACTCTATCTACTTGTCCAACTTCTACCTTTTCTTGAGGTTTCCTCTTCAACTTACAGTGGAGATAGAATATAGGGGCAGCTAGGTGGTACAGTGGATAGAGCACTGGCCCTGGAGTCAGGAAGATCTGAGTTCAAATGTGACTTCAGACACTTACACTTACTAGCTGTGTGACCCCGGGCAAGTCACTTAACCCTGACTGCAAAAAACCCCACAAAAAACCAAACTCCAAAAAGGCAGAATATGCACCATTAATGAAGTTCTAGGGATATCATAGGATCATAGATTTAGAGCTGATAGGGGCCTTAGAGATCATACAATCTAACCCTATCCTTTTATAGAGGAAGAAAATAAAGCCCATAAAGGAAATTACTTGCCCAAGGTCACACTGCCAGTAGGTAACTGAGTCATGAATCATACCTTATTTGCCATCTATGTGTGGAAAAGAATCCCAGCAACAATATTCTGTCTTTTGGTTTGTGTGAAGGACTCCAACGGGGGAGTCTACTGCCTCCCAAGAAAGCCCATTCTACTTTGAGATGGCTGTAATTACTACAAAGTTTTTCTTTACATCAGTTATGAATTTGCAACATCTACCTATTGCTCTTAGATCTATTCTCATGATAGCCCTTCAAATAATAATAATAATAATAGCTAGCATTTATATAATGGATTTTTACCCAAACCTGGGAGTTAAGTACTATCATTATCTCCATTTTACAGATGAAGAAATCAAGGCAAACAGAGATTAAGTGACTTTCCTAGGGTCACACAGCTAGTAAGTATCTGAGGCTGGATTTGAACTCAGGTCTTCCTGACTCCAGGTCCAGCACTCCACTCATTATGCCACCTAGCCGCCTCTGAAACATTCATTAATCTTCTACTATATACAAGATACTGGGATTATAAGGACAAAGCAGAGAACAGTTGCCGCCTTCTATTGGAAGTGATAGGACACTTAAAGAGATAAGTAAATGTGAGATACACTAAGGAAGGAGAGAGAACAGTAACATCTTACCTTTTGTGTATTATAGACTTCTTTGGAAGTCTGATGAAGCCTACAGACACTCTCCAAGAATAATGTTTTTAATTTCTAAAATTAATTAATTAATTAATTTTTCGTTTTCAACACTCACTTTCATAAGCTTTTGATTTTTCAATTTTCTCCACCTCCCTCTCCTCCCCACTCCCCAAGACGGCATGCAGTCTGATATAGGATCTACATATACATATTAAACATATTTTCACATTAGTCATGTTGAGAGAAGAATTAGAACCAATGGGAGAAACCACGAGAAAGAAGAAACAAAAAGAGAGCAATTTTTGATCTGCCTTCAGACTCTATAGTTCTTTTTCTGGGTGTGTATAGCATTTTCCACCATGAGTCTTAAGAATAATGTTTTTAAATGCATAAAATAAAACACACAGTATTATGAAGGACAGTAATTTGATTGAAATAGTTATCAGAATATGTAAAAAAAATTCATCGATCCCAAGTTACAAACCACTGATTGAGGGACTAGGAAGAGCTTACATTTGGGTGTGACACTCAATTTAGCCTCAAAGAAAGTTAGGAATTCTAAGCTAGTGTGGATGCAAAAGAAGGGCTAGTTAAGCTGGGGTGTCATTAGTAATCATGTGGATAAAAAGTTGAGAATGAGTATTAATTCAATAATGATAATTATTATAGCTGTACAAAGCACTATGTGCCAAGCTAACCTTAATATTATCTTATTTCATCCTCATAATAACCCTGGAGGTAGGTGCTAATGTGATCCCAATTTTACAGATGAGGAAACTGAGGCAAACAGAGGTTTAAGTGACTTGACAGGTAGTATATGGCTGAGGTCAGATATGAACTCAGGTCTTCCTGACTCCAGTCCTGGTATGCTATTTACTGCAGCACCTAGCTGCCCCAAATTCAAATCATAATAGTGTGATAGAAGCAAACAATATAAGTGGGATTCATGCACACAAAACAGAGCTATAAAAAGCAGTCTTGGACCAAGCAGGAAAATGAATAGGTCAGTTCACACAGACTTGGGGGGAATAGGGAGAGGGAAGGAAGAGAGGGAGTGTCCATGTCCAAAGTTGTTAGAGAAGGCTTAGGAGCATGATAAGTAGATGAATTAAAACAAATTTATTAAGTACTTATTATGTGTCAAGCACTAGGCTAAATGCTGGGGATGAGAATAGATAAATAAAATGGTAGTTGCTCTCAAGAAACTCACATTCTAATGGGGGAAGATGATAGATTTTAGCTGTAGTCCCGATGGCAAGGATCCTAACACTGAGAACTGATAGGGACCTTAGAGGTCATACAGTCAGTTCAACAATCTCATTTTACATGTAAGGAAACTGAGGACTAGAAAGAGGAAGTGATGCAGCCAAAGTTACATGGATGGTGGATCTTCTTGGAGGATGGGTTCTACACAGGAAGAATGGTATGAACAAAGAAGTGGCAATAGTGGGCTGGAGATGAGCCTGGGAGGTTAGGTTGGGACCAGATTGTGAAGGGCTTTGAATGCCAGGATAGAGAGTTTGGGCTTAAATCATTAGACATATATACTCATTCTCTCCTTGTACCCCTCTGATGGGGTGCTTCCATTGTGTAACATCTCCCCTGCACCCCCAGTTTCCCAGAGGAGTACAGCTCAGAGAAATGCCAGGGGCAGGATGGCCAGATCCCCTCAAGGACAGCTGGTTAGCGAGACCCCCTGGTGGGAGAGGAGGCCAGACCAGGGTGTCTCAGCAGCAGTAGACACTGGAGCTGTGACAGTTGGTTCCTGGATTCCTCACCCAGTGGCGCCAGCTCTGGTTTCGGCCTGGGGGGGAGGGAAAAGGGCAGGGATCTAGACACCTGGATACCTGGTGCCAGCTGGGGGTGGGGACTGTCCCTGGGGGAGGGCTGACAGGGCTGGAATTAGAACCTCTGAGCTAAGAGTCAATAAGTTAGTCAGCAAGTGATGTAAGCTCATTGGTGAATAGGGATTGTTTCATTCTTTAATGAATGAAACTAACTCTAGCACCTAACTCAGTGTCTGGCATGGTACTTAATAAATGGTTGATTGATTGAACATGTATTATTGAGCACCTACTCTGGACCCAGGACTATACTAGGCACCATGGGGAGCTATCAAGAGGTATAAAATATGATTCCCACCCTTTATTTTATTTGGGGAGACAAGACACAGATGGACAGATAATACACAACATGGAATGTGATAAGGACCAAATAAATGCCTTTAAAGAGAGCAGAGAGGGGGCAGCTAGATGGCACAGTAGATAGAGCACTGGCCCTGAAGTCAAGAGGATGTGAGTTCAAATCTGACCTCAGACCAAACACTTGACACTTACTAGCTGGGTGACCCTGGGCAAGTCACTTAACCCCAATTGCCTTTTCAAAAAAGAGAGAGAGAGAGAGAGAGAGAGAGCGCGCAGAGAGGCATGGGCTGGAAGCATCCAAAAAGGCTTCTTAGAAAAAGTGAGACTTTAGCAGGTCTTTGAATCACAAAAATCAGATAAAGACAATTGGAAGGCTAGGGCATCCACTTAATACTTATTAAGACCTGCTATGGGCCAGGCACTGTTCTCAGCACAAAGAAAGGAAGACAGTGCCTGACCATGAGGAGCTCACAATCTAATGACGGAAGGTACTAGAAGTAAGAATAATATGGATGGGCTGTCTGTAGAATGTAGGATTTTAGACTAGAATGAGAGAAATGGAGGGAAGACCTCAGGAACCAAGGTGTCTGAAATAGATATACATGAGGGAATGAACTCAGGGAGTTGGCAGGCTGGCTCAAACTCGGGTAGTGGAGGAAAAGGAAGGTGGGCAGGAGCGCGTGCTCTGAGTTTGCCCACCAGGTGGCACTGTAGGCCAGGAGGTGGGACTACTGAGGGCCAGAGACGTTGATTTCATGCCTCACTTGGGTTGTAATGTGTGTATGTTGACTTCTTCCTCCAGCATCTCATGTTATTCCTTTTGAGGATATCTCGTCACTATCCCAAGTCAGTCCCTCGTCTTTGGTGGTCCCCATTGTCTGGGTGTTGTAGACTCATGGAACTCATGGAAGTGATGGAACGGACCCTAAATGACACCTATTCCAAACCTCCCCTCATTCTATAGGTAAGGAAAGTGGGGCCAAGAAGAGGTGATGTGACTTTTGGATGGCTTGGAATGAGGGGAAGAACAAAGATCCTTTTTTTTTTTTTGTGAGGCAGTCAGTTAAGTGACTTGCCCAGGGTCACACAGCTAGTGAGTATCATATGTCTGAGGCCAGATTTGAACTCAGGTCCTCCTGACTCCAGGTCTGGTACTATATCCACTGCACCACCTAGCTAGCTGTTCCCAAAGATCATGTTTTACAGATCCTAGAAGAGAGATAGAATTAAGGCATATGAAGATTAAGGAAAAATCTACAGGATCTCAGCTCTGCACATGGCTCTTACATATGTTCTCTCCCCTTTTCAATCATCTAATTATGTGTCTCCACTTCTATTCCTCCTCTACTCCTGTCCCCCATACAAGTCACAGTCCTCTATTCATTCTACCTGACCAAAGTTGTTATTGAGAATATGGTCTCTTGATTCTAACTCATTCCTCCCCCAGGAGACCAGGACAAAGGACAACACACCAGTGCTCAGCACATCAACAGTACAGTGCCTAGCACATAGTAGGTGTTTAATAAATACTTTTTGACTCGATTTGACAAGACCAAGGACTCCTATGCCCCATACCCACACATTAGCATTTAGGAAAAACACATTCCTTGCCTTCATTGAACTCCAATAGATTTTTCAAGTGTACCCTCTCCTTATCCTTCCATTTGCCTCTCTTCCCCTCCAGCCCAGGCTTTCAGTTCCAGGCAGATAAATCTGTTCAGTTCACACAATTCACTACCTATAATGCAGGAAGAATAAGAATTATTCACATTTCTAGTGTTTTAAAAAATAATTTTATTGATCTTTTGTTTTTATATCATCTAAATTTCCCTTACTCCTGTCTCTCCCTCTTCCCAGCTAGCCATCTCTTGTGCTATAATAGGTTTTAGGGTTTTTTAAACCTTTTTTCTTTTTTTTTTTGGTGAGGCAATTGGGGTTAAGTGACTTGCCCAAGGTCACACAGTTATAAGTGTCATATGTCTGAGGTCAGATTTGAACTCAGGTCCTCCTGACTCCAAGGCTGGAGCTCTATCCACTGTGCCACCTAGCTGCCCCTTTTTAAACCTTTTTAACATCATAGGTCCCTTTGGCAGTCTGAAGAAGTGTATGATCCTTTTCTCAGAGTAATGTTCTTAAATGCATATGATAAAATACATTTCATTACAAAGAAAACCAATTACATTGAAAGTTATCAAAATATTTTAGCAATAATAATAGCATTTATGTAGTGCTTTGAGGTTTTCAAAGTGCTTTACAGGGGCAGCTAGGTAGCGCAGTGGATAGAGCACCGGCCCTGGAGTCAGGAGGACCTGAGTTCAAATCTGGCCTCAGACCAAACACTTGACACTTACTAGCTGTGTGACCCTGGGCAAGTCACTTAACCCCAATTGCCTAAAAAAAAAAAGACAAAGTGCTTTACAAATATTATTTCAGTTTATCCTCACAATGACCCTGGAATGTAGGTGATATTATTGTCTCCATTTCACAGAGAAGGAAACTGAGGTTGATGGGGATTAAGTGACTCGCCTATAGTCACACAGCTAGTAAATATCTGAGGCTGAATTTGAACTTAAGTCATCGTGACTTTAAGTCTAGCACTCTATCCACTATGCTAATGTGCTTTGTTAAAAAAGAAAAAAGTTCACTGATTCCCTGTTCTATGTTTTAAAGTTTGCAGAATACTTTACTTACAATAGCCCTGTGAGGTGGGTAGTATAGGTATCAAATCCATTTTGTTTATTTTTTTTGAGATTTTTAAAAAAAATTTTATTTAAATTATTTATTTTTAAGGCAGTTGGGGTTAAGTGACTTGCCCAGGGTCACACAGCTAGTGAGTGTCAAGTGTTTGGTCTGGGGCCAGATTTGAACTCAGGTCCTCCTGACTTCAGGACCGGTGCTCTATCCACTGCACCACCTAGCTGCCCCTATCAAATCCATTTTACAGAGGGGAAATTAGAGTAGGAGAGGTTAAGTAACTTGCTAGTTATTCAGCTAGTCCTCCTGACTCCAAATCCAGTGCTCTATCACCATGGTATGCCTTTCTCCATTCTTTCAATTTTCCATTACCTAGCACAGTGCTGTGCTCAATAAGTAGGTGCTTAATAAATGTTCATTGAATTTCCACTGGCCATTCTCCTGCCTTTCCTCAACCGCAGGAGCCTATCCTATCCTCTACCCCAGCACCATTCCATCCACCTTCTCAACTTTATATTACTGTCCTCCAGGGAGCCTTCCTCCCACATTATATCTAACACCTATCCCACTCTGCTATCCCAAACTCCTTTCTCTTTCCCCAAGTAAGATACATAAAGCTACATCTGAAACTGTCTTTGTTTCTATTTTAGTGTTCTGTCTTTTTTATCAGATTATAGGCTCCCTAAAGACAGTGATTGGGGCTCTCCCTATTAGACTGGTAACTCCCCAAGAGCAGGTATTTTTTCCTCAGACTATGAGTGTGATCCCTTAGAGCAAGGGCTGTATCTCTCCCATCACACTAGGGGCTTCTTGAAATCAGATATTGTGTTTTCTTCCTCTGAATATCTCCACCCCCAACCCCCCACCCCATCCAGCACATAACTTATCCACAGCGGGCTGAGGATTGAGAAGAGCAGACAGGTGGTTTCACTTTGTGTGCTGGATGGGTGTGTGGGGGTGGAGCCAGCCTAGGGAGAGTCTGAGCCACTAGGTGGCATATCCAATCTGGCTGCTGGCCAAGGTGCTGCCTCTTGACTGAAGGGAATTGAGTTGGGGTGTTTAGACATGAAAAAGAAATCCGGTCCTGAGTACTAAGATGAATGACACAGAGTGCCATAAGCAAGACAGTACAACTGGGGCTTCCAGGACAAGTTTTCCCGCTTTATGTGTCTTATGGATCTGAAAAAGTCTCAGAATAGAAGAGAGGAGCCGAAGGGAAAGTAGGAGAGAGGGACAGTGGCTTAGTGGGCAGAGGGAGTCTGGGAGATACTAGGAAAAAGGGAAGAGAGCTTGGGTGATTTTTAAGGAACTCAAAAGGACTGTGCATATGATATTCAAATAAGATTCCCAATGAGTCAAAGGCTAAGGCCAAACAAAACTCGTTACCAAAAAAAATTTTTTTTAAAAAGCTAGGAACCCAGACCACTCTCTGGGGAAATGGCGTTGGTGGTAAAACTCAGTCACAGAGAGGGAAGGAAAGAGGCCCTGTTGCTATGGAAATGGTGGTATTTGTGGAGAGGAGGGGACTCCTGGGTCCCTTGGGCTGTGGAGCTGTGATTCATTGCAGGAAAGGAAGGGTTGCCAGGGGCAGCAGGGTGTTTGGGGGAACCCAATGCTTTTCTGGCTCCTTCTTCATCCTCCACATTCTCCATTCCTCTGCCTCAGGATCCTGGGGAAGGGGAGGAAGAATCAAGTTTGCACACAGCCCCCTTATTTTACAGAGTATGAAACTGAGGCCCAAAGAGATTAAATGATTTATCCAATTTCATACCAGCAGAACACACAGCCAGGATTCATACTAAGGTACCTTGAAATCTAAGGCCCTTTCCACGTTAATATATCTTTGCTTCAATATGGAGGACATCCCTTCCTTAGGTACTCCCACAGCATTCCTTACCTGTCTTAGTTTGCCCAGTAGAGTACAGTATAGAGGAGTTCAAATTACTAGAGACAAAGCAAAAATAATTAAATTTGTTGAAGTGAACAATTAATCCTACAACTTTTTACATCTTTAAAAAACTTTAATATCTAATGTGTCCTCCCTTTGCTGCAACCATTTGCTTTACATAATTTGGCATTGAGTTCACAAGATTTTGACATGTATGCTTAAGTCCTTCACCATGAAATGGAATAGTAAGGGTACCTTTGGGAAGCAGTCTAACCTTGTTTATATAAAACCCATAGGTTTTCAATGAGATTTAAATCATGCCAGTTCCCAGGCCGTACAAGTATATTTATCTCCATCTCTTGGATACACCTCTTAACTTTTGTGATGTGTGGCATGGTGTAAAATCGTGTTATAGCATTCCACTTTAATTTTGGAAATGTCTGTAATTCTGAAACAATTCTGATTCATATTATTGAAATGCTTGATAAATATTCTAATAAAAAATATATATATTTATCAGAGTTTATAATTACCTCAGTGGAGACAAATTTTCTAGGCCCACTAGAAATTTTTTAAAAGTTCTCCAGACTTTTTTTGTAATGGATGTTTTATAGTCTGGGGAAATGCTCAGTTTTTAAACATTCACCTGGAATTTTTCTGACAACAGCTTTGATATAGCCTTGAATGAAGAAGTGAGTCTCATCACTAAAAATTACCTTTCCCTCAATCTTTAGTACACCAGCTTTGGTATTATCTTTCTCTTGACAGGTATGTTTTCTTCATAGCAATGGTTAACAGCAGTTGGTTTTTTTTTTCTAAGCTGGTCTTCTTGCTGTTCTTTCAGCTTGAAAAAGCCTATGCCACACTAAAGGAATCAATAATACCAACTCATTAAGTTGCCAGGTTCCTTTGAAAATCTTTTCTTGTTTTCTGAGAATGAATTAGATTGTTTTACAGCAATAGTTAAGTTCTTTATTTTAAACCATACTTGAGTGTGAGTGTTTCATTCTGTTGTGGGCTTGAATGATCCTTGAAATGCTTTTCTGTCCCACACCAATAGGCACTGCAATATCTCTAACAGTCATTGAAGTGTACTCTGTAAAAGCAACTACTTTTGTACCTTTCCTTGGAGGAATATCCATTCTTACAATCCACAGAATTAAAACAAAAGGGAAGAATGAAACATGTGAATGGGATTAAATCTAGCACTTAGAGAACTAGCTAAATGTAGGGAAACCAGCTCAATCTGGTATCACTTGGTCAAGGTCTTACATTGTGTCATAGCACACAGGAATGATCATTGCTATCTCAGAATGAAGGAGATAGGGACTGGACCTGTAATTTCATTCATAAAGGGAACTTCCAAATGAGTAAACTCCTTCTACTAATGTAGGTTAGTGCTTTTCCTGAAACATATAGTTTTAGAGAGTTGTCTAGAGTACTGAGAGATTTAAGTGATTTGCCCAGAATCACAGAGCCAGTATGTGATATAGGCAGGACTTGAACCCTCTAGCTACTACACCATAGTGCTTCTCTATACAAAATGAAACTATATCAAAAGTACTGCTTGTCCCAATTAATTTGACATTCCACCATAGATCTTTTGTAGAGAGGAGTTAAAAGAAAAAAATGGTGCTCTCTTGTCTGATGCCCACAGGGCCAACTGTTGAAAACCATGTTTATCTAACATTGTGGTGAAATTCAGTGGGCTACATCTCAGCAACATTGCCTCCACACACATCCCCTTCCCTTTTTCCTTGGGCAGGGGTATGAAAGTGGGGGGTGGCAAAGTAAGGGGAGAGTTGTCTCTGCCTTCCTAAAAGTTTTGGAGTCTCCACATGACCCTATCATGCTACCACCATCTTCAAAAAGATTAGTTTCATTCTTCCTCATCCACTGGGCTTCCATCTACCCCCAGTTTCAAGAGGAAATGGGGATCCCCCTCCTCCAGGCCCTTGGTGGCAGGTGCCATGAAAGAGGAAAGTCCCTACCCCACCCAAGACTTAGAGAAATATCTTCAGGCTGAAACAGAAAGATTGGCATTAATAAGCTCTTTGTAAAGCACTTTAAGCAAAAATACATTATTCCATTTGATTCTCACAACAATTTTCTGAGATGAGTAGGACAGGTATTATTATTCCTACTCTACTGATGAAGATATTGATGGTGAAAAAGGGATGAATGACTTGCCCAGGTCTCACAACTAATCAATGGTGAAGCCAAGACTACAATCCCGGTCTTTTGACCCTCAATCCATTTCTCTTTCTACTATCCCACAGGACTTTTAAATTATAGAAATCACAGTATGTTAGAGTTAGAAAGATTTTTAACAATAGTAATAATCACTAGCATTTATAGAACATTTTAAGGTTTGCAAAAACACTTTTCAAATATGTCCTTTTATCCTCACAACAACCATGGGAGGTAGGTACTATTATTATCTTCCATTTTATAGATGAGGAAACTGAGGCTGAAGGAGGTTAAGTGACTTGCCCAGAGTCACACAGCTAGTATGTTGCCTGAGGTCAAATTTGAAATTGGGTCTTCTTGACTCCAGGTCTGGAGCTCTGGCTCTTGTGCCACTTAGATCATCTATTCCAACCTCCTCTTTTCTTAGCTAAGGAATTGAGGTCTCGAGAGGGGCAGTGACTTGCCTAAGGTCACACAGTGAATTAATAGAAGAGCTAGAACTGAAATTCAGATCACCTGCCTCCCAGGTGGTGTCTGTGACAGCAGAGGTAGAGAAGGAAGAGGCTAGCTTAGACAAATGAAAGAAGATGACTTCCTAGCAGGCCTGGTAGCAGTTAGATCATAGGATGGTATCTAAGAATGATTAGGGGTGTGGTGCAGATACCACTGTGCGATCTTTGATGGGACATCCTCTTTTCTGAAAAAACAATTATCTTCCTGTTAGGTGAGACTGGGAGATCGGAGGTCTAAGTTGTGCACCAATTTGCAAAGCACATCTAGAAGGGTTATTTTTGCCATGGATGATGATGGTGGCAACTCCTTTCCCTGGGGGTAGGAGGGACTTGTGAGATGGCTGGCTTATTTCTCTAGACCTCAGAGGGGTGAGGGGTGCCCAGAGACTGCTGGAGGCACGAGTACTAATTAGCTCAAGCTCCATAATGGGGCATAATTGCCTCCCTGTGATAGGCAATTAAAGGAATCTATCAATTAGCACTGTAAGGGAGACTTGATTCTGGTCCCAGGTTCAAGGACTAAGAGAGACTTAGGAAGAGCTGGACTGGTGGGCAGCAACTTCCCTCTCTCTCTCTCTCTCAAACTTCCTGTAACATTTCCCCTTTTCTATGAAAGACTACATGCAGGTGTGAGTATCTTTAGTTGCATGGGGTAGTGGAAAGAAGTTTGAAAGGGGTATCAGAAGGCCTAGATTGTATCCTGAGTAGCTCCCTTTGCCCTGTCTGGGTCTCAGTTTCCTTAGCTATAAAACTGGGATAATAACAACTGTCCTGTCTCCTTCATAGGGTTATTGTGCAGATTAAATGAGATAATGGATGTAACCATGTTTTAAAAAAAACTATGAAGTGCCATATGAAAATGATCATGAGTTTTGCTAAAAGATTGCTGTCTTTTATTGTTACATCACCTTCATTTGTGAATATGCCCCTCCCTTAGCTAGCAAGTCGCTCCTGGTAACAAAGAATAAAAAAATAGAGAATAAAAGCAGCTAAGCAAAAATAACACACCGACCTGACAGAATGTGATGTCTTGAACCAGAATTATATGTATATCCACCGCACAAAAAAGGAAATGTAAAGAAATCAATAAACGCTGCTGTTTCCTCACCTGTAAAACGACAAGATCAATTCAGTTTAACCAGTGTGTATTGAGTACCTACTATCTGCGAGGTGCTGCAGTGGATGGAGAGCTAGGCTTGTAGTAAAGAAGGCTTGAGTTAAAACCCTGTCTAGGCATTTACTAGCTGTATGACCCTGGACAAGTCATTGATCTTCTGTTTGCTTCAGTTTCCTCATCTGTGAAACCACCGGGGTTGTTGTGAGGACCAAATAAAATAATATTTGTAAAGTGCTTTGCAAACCCCAAGGTGCTATATACATATTTTTATTATGTGCTGGGGATACAAAGATGGATAGAACACACTCTTTAGGACCTTAAGATCCAACAGAAGAGGAGACCTAAGATATGTACACGATTAACTATCATACAAGAGTGAAGAGGGCAAGTGTAAAGTTGATGTTCAGGCCAGGTGCTATGACAACTCTGAGGAGAGAACGATCACCTTCAGATGAATATGTGTAGGCTTCATAGAAACTCATCTGTAAAATGAGGCAATTCCTTCCCTCTCCTGATGCCTTATGAATTGGGGTGAGAATTCCTGAGCCTATTAGAGAGCTTCATAGACATTGTGGTTAGGGAAACTTTTTTTTTTTTTGCTTTTGGAGGTGATCAGAATTAAATGACTTGCCCAGGGTCACACAACTAGTATATGAAGTTGGATTTGAACTCAGGTCCTCCTATCTCCAGGGCCAGTGCTCTATCCACTGTGCCACCTTGCCAACCCAGGGGAACTTATTAGGGCACTTAACCAGAAGACAAAAGGGAGAGATTTTTGTGAAAAGAGGGGATGGAAACAACCACAGAGAGGCCAGGTGAAGGTCCCACCCTTAGGAGTGGCCTGTGCCCTGTGTCAGAACCAGACCAAAGAAGACTGAGAGGGGCTGATATCTTGGGTCTAGCCCTGAAAGAGTAAGAGGAGATAGGTTGGCTTAGTTTAAAAAAAAAAAGTCATTGAAAATGATGCATGGTGCTGGATGCCTCTAATACTGAGGAGGCTGAGCCTAGTGAGTTGAAGCAGGCCAAGCCAATCAGGCATCCCCACTAAGTCCAGAAGTAATAGGGTGAGCCCCCAGGGCCATTAGGCTCTGTAAGTTGAGGGGGAACTACTGGGGCCATTGCGGGGGGGGGGGGCATAGTGCAGCAAAACAGAAAAATGGAGCAGGTCAAAGCTCTTGGGCTGACCAATTGTGGAATCTTGCCCATGAGTGGCACCCAGGATGGGTTTGATAAAGAGAACTAGTGTTGGGTTTTGGGGGGTTTTTTTATGATTCTAAGTTAGAAAACCTGGCTTCATGTCCCAGCTTGTCAGTCACTTACTACCTGTGTGACCCTGAGACAAATCAGACATCTCTGGGTCTCCATTTCTTCATCCATAAAATGAAAGGGATTGGCCTAAGTAATCTCTAAGGTTCTTTCTAAGCTTCAAACACTCTGATCCTCTTCTCCTTTGAAAGAAGCTTAAGAAGTGAAGCCATAAGCCCCTCAAGATCACCCCCCTTCCGAGATCCTTCATGGTTCAGGGCTCAGGTAAGTCTTCCCAATGGTCTAACTTTACTCCTGCTTATGGAGTGATAACCCCCTCCACTTCTTCAGTCTCAACCCGGGTTCCTCCTGGTTCCTTTGGAGTCTCTCAGCCGCCTTTTCCACACCCCCTTTTCATTAAACATCTTGTTTTAGTCTTTTTGAGAATGTGATTTGAATTAACTCTTGGGAGAAAATCGCAGAGCCTAGGGAAGAGGGGAGGGAAGTGTGGAGGGGGGAGTGAGTCACGTTTTCATTTGTGTGTGTTTTTTTCAAACTTTCCGTTGGAAGTTTGGAAAATAACATCCTTGGAGTTGCCAGCCTGGGGCTCCATTGGTTCTTCTATCCATCTGGTTTCTTCTTGTCTCTGGGTGTGGCTTTTCTGTAGGTTCTGCATTAATAGTTGTTCCAAGTCAAGTCAACAAGTATTTATTTAGTGCCTACTATGTGCTAGGCACTGTGCTAAACTAAGGATACAAAGAAAGGCAAAAGATAATCCCTGATATTAAGGAGCTCACAGTCTAATGGAGGAGATAACACTGAAACAATTATGTAAAAATAAGATACATATATATACACATGTAACTGGAGACAATATCAGAGGGAAGGCACCAGCATTAAGGCAGAATCAGAAAAGGCTTCTTGGGGTAGAATTTTAGCTGAGATTTGAAGGAATCCAGGGAAGCAGGAGACAGATGAGAAGAGAGAATTCCAGGGCGTGGGAGACAGCCAATGAAATGTATTGAAGGGAGTTGGGAGATGAAGTGTCTTGTTCAGGGACCAGTATCACTAGGTGGTAGAATCCTTGAAGGGGAGATATTGAAAGCTTTCCTTGAGTGTATGTGAGAGCAGGGAGTAATCATCCTGATTCTGACCACTTCCAACCACCTATCACTCAAAGAACCGTAGAATCAACAAATCTTAGAGATGCTAAAACCCTGTAGAAATAATCCAGTCCAAGTCCCCTAAATCTCAAAGCTTTACTGGATTTGGAGTCAGAAAATATGACAGCAGCTTACTGTTTGCATAAAGGTCTACTGCCCCCACCCCTTTGAATCTCAGTTTCCTCATCTGTAGAATATAAGCTCTCTGTTCATGCTTCTAGAACCTAGCTGAATGCCTGGCATAGTATAGGGTCTTAATAAATATTTACTGAATTGAACTGGATCTATTAAATTAATAATAATAACAAGCCTTTATATAATGCTTTAAGGTCTGCAAAGTATTTTACAAATCCTATCTCATTTGATCTTCACAATATCCCTGGGAGCTAAGTACTGTCATTATCCCCATTTTCTAAATGAGGAAACTGAGGCAAACAGAGGTTAAGTGACTTGCCTAGAGTCACAAAGCTAGTAAGTACCTCGGGCTAGATTTGAATTCAAGATTTTCTTTATTCCAAGCCCAACCTCTAATCACTGTGCCATCTAGCTTGCTATTAGTGGGGAGGTCACCTGGATGATCTCCGAGCTTCCTTATGACTCTAAAATCCTATGATCCATCTCCTTTGTTAGGTTGTTAGTCTCTGTACATTCTGTATTTAGGATTTAGAGCTAAAGGAGAACTCAGAGTTCATCTAGTCTCATTTACAGATGAGGAGACTGAGTCATAGAGAGGTAAAGTGACTTGCCGAAGGTAGTAAACAGCTAAGCCAGGATTAGAACCCAACTCTTCTGATGCCAGAGCCTATACCCTTTCCACTACTGCCATTTATATAATTTTTTTAAACATTTATAGTGTCTTATATAACCTCCTTTGATCCTTACAAACAGCCTAGTCCGAATTATAGGCTTTAACTCTTGGGGCTTAAAAAAAATTTAAGGACATGTCCATGGTGACACATTGAATAAATGGTGGGATTTGAACCCAGGCCTTTCTTACTCCAGGCCCAATATTCCTTCTCCTATATCCCCCCCACTAGATCAGTAGTTCTCAAAGTTTTTCAAAATAGTAGAACCCTTCAGTTTTAACAAAACTTTGGCAGAACCCCTGTAGCAAAAGCCTCTAAAATTATTATTTTTGATGTCTATTGCCAAACAAGATAAAGTTAATTTAAAAACCAACTTGGGGTATTACAGGGTTTCAGCACAGTTTGAGAAACACTGTGTTAAAGAAAGAGGTTCACTTTGTGATATAATCTTCCTCTTACCTCTGGCAGCTGCAGGGTCCATCTGTCTCTCCTTAAAGAGATGGAGCCCTCTCCACTCACCCAGGCCCTTTCTCCATCTTGGTAGTTATCCTGCCAAGGGTATCACTCCTGTAGCCTAATACCTAACACCAGTTGCCTCCACCCTATCCTTTGAGATACCACCTTTTGAATCTTAGCTCCCAGGCTGATTATTGTCCCCAAAGAAACTTTCCTGTTCTGGATCCTGTTATTGGCCCCTCCCTTCCTTTTATCCCATAAAGTCTCCCCAACCTTCTCTAGTATTACCTTCACTCTAACATAAATTGATAAAAGAACAAGGACCTGAGCCTTCCAGATTTGAAATGAAAAAACACATTTTGCTTTACGAATTGCATAGCAAACTTTGACTCTTCAGTAGAGGGGGTTCCCAGGACTCTACCAGTTCTTATCCCAAATCACTGAGAGTGTGCAGGGACCCTCTCCCATGTCAGATTGATATTGGGTTTATCCCCATCAAGCTGAGATATAAAGATCCTATGTAAAAGAAGACTCACAGAATTCCTTAAAAGGTTGAGAACTCCACATAAGAACAGCTATCTATGGGGAAAAGAGCTTCCATATGTGCGGAAGAAACCCAAAAGGAGGAACAAGGTAGTCTACTTGCATGAACCACTGCCTGTTGCCACAGACCATTGCCACCTCAGTTGCCCACAGGATCATCCCCCCCCAACCATCTTAGGCTTCCTCCATATCCCCTCCAACTTCTAACTTCCTTTGATGGAGAACTAGCCCTCCCCATCCTGGTGTTCACTTCACCCCCCTACCCCCTTTCCTTTATCCTTCCCCTTGCAGGCTGACTAATCTTTCCCAGTGGCTGGGCTGCCGTGCCAGCAGCAGTGAGAGCACACAACCACACGCACCACATCTGGCTTCAGTTGAGCATCCTTTCCTTCCCCCCCCTCCCCCTAGGCACCCAGCCCCACCCAACTCTAATTCGCAGCCCTGCTCTTTCCAGGCATTGAAGATTGCCCCCCTCCCTTCTTCACCGAGGTGCCCGATGGCCTAAAGTTGCAAGGGCCTTTCTATTTGTCCCCAAAATCTCCCCCTCCACCTCACTATCCCTTTTCTCCAGCCTCTCCTTCATAATTCCCTTCTCAGTCTTCCTTTAATCCTCCCTCCCTAGGCCTCCCCTATTTCCTTGTCATCTTCTTACTGAGATCATGCTAATCTTTATATTATTCAAAATTTAGTCTATATGCTGCCAAAGAAATACCCTTATTTTCTGTCTTCCCACCTAATCTCCTGTTTTCTCTTCTTCATTCCCCCCCACATTTATCAATGGGTATTTGGGGGAGTCTATACTTGGTGCCCTCAGGGAGGCAGTCCAAGCCTCCAGGTTGTCCTTGCAACCTAGGGTTAAGCCAATCCCCTCCATCTCTCTAGACTGTCCTCCTCAGCCCCCAGACCTCTGCACACAGGAAGCCTTACATGCAGGTCTATTTGGAGGTACCAGGAACCAGATTTCATGACATAGAGGGAAATGGGGTGACAGCTCTAGTGGGGGTGTGCAGAGAAGTCACAATAGTGGCCCCTGAGAGGGTGTGGGGGAGTACAGCCAGTTTCCCCAGAATCTGTGAGCCAGAGGGAAAGGGGGAGGAGCCTTACAGCCCTTCCAGCTATTGCTTTTTCTTCCTCCTTAGCAACGGGTAAATATTTGCCCCACCAGGATCTGGGGCTAAAGCTTCTGTGTTGGCCCAGCCTGTTGGGGCATTCTGGCCTTTTGTCTTTCATCTCCCCAGTTCCACCCCTCTGGCTCCCCCCAATTCTCTCACTGATCCTGGGTTCCAAATCCCTCTGAAATCTTTGGTGGGGAATGAGGGATGGGACTGGGCTTGTTCATCTCCACTCATTTTACCCTTATTCTTTCTTTACCTTTCTTCCATCCTCAATTTTTCTATGTCCTCTTTCACTTAACCTCTTCCCACAATCCCTCTTTCCCTCCTCTCCTCCTTCTGTGCTCCTGCCTCTTCTCTCTCCCTCACTTCTTCCTCTATTCTCCTTCCTCCTGTCATTCCTTTCTTCCTTTCCCTCTTTCTTCTACTATTGTCCTTCTTCTTTCCCACCTTCCTACACATCTCCCTAAATCTCCACCTGTAGTTCCATTCTCTATTCCTGAAACTGCCCAGTAGCATTTACTATTCTCCCTCTGCCCCTGGATACAGTAGCTCCCCAAAGAGATGTTCCTCTTCCCCAGAAGAGGAACTCAAAGATGCCTGGTAAGTCACTGGGGAAATTCTTCTCTAAGAATGTGCAGACTCCCCACCCACCTAGCACACCTCCCATAGGAAGCCAGCTCCACCCATCCCCAGGACAAAACTGAATCTCCTAGGTCCCAGCTTCATGGGTGTCAAGCAGAGCTCTGATGTTTTTGCTGGATGAAGCTCTCACCCCATCCTCTTGTCCCAAGGAAATCCAAGCCAGGAAATCCAGAGCCATTCTAACCTCCTTTGGAGGGAGCCTAAGCCAAAAGGAAACAGATGCCCCCTGAGCCCAACCCTGGGGCAGTGGAGGGAAGGCAAGGGAGGAATCTTGAGGAAGCCTCTAATTATCCTCAGGTGGGGCCTCTCCCCTTCCTCCCAGCTTGGAAACCTCTCCCTCTACCTAGCTTTCCATTGCTGTGGCTACTGTTTAGGACAGTCCTGCTGGATGAAGAGAGAAAGTCTGCAAGACAAGTACAGGTAGATGGGATCTGGAATCCCAGCAAAGAATAAGAAAAAAAAATGGGGGGAATGTGGATTGGTGTGAAATAGGGCTTGCACTTACACTGAGTCCTGCTCTCTGGGAAGTGAGCAGAGAGGCCCTGGATCATCCTGTCTGTCTCCCTGCCATCCATCATGTGGCACAGCGGCATTTTCACAGCCCAAACCAATGAGAAGGGTAGCTTTTCTTTTGAGAATCCAGAGAGAGTTAGTTCACACTCTTACTTTGTTTCACTCTATCCTCAGCCTGTTAAGGGGTCTTTCCTGGGACCTTATTCCCCCATCCCTTTTGCTATATACAGTCCCAGTTGTTGCAGTGGAGAGAAACTGGAAGGATGGAACAGTTGAGAAATGAAAGGGAGGGAAACAACCCATGGAATTTGATAGGAAAAGTCCTTCTTCCTCCACTTTTTTGCTTTAGAAAGGTTTTCTAGAGGAGGTGGGCTAGAGAGAAGAGAGATGGAGATAGAGCAGGGAAACTTCCTTCCAAGGACGGGGAGCAGAAGGCGTCCCCCATATCCTTCTCTTTTCACTTATTCTCCACTCTGGCCAGAGTTGTAATGTTTCTGTTTGTTTCCTTGGCAACAAGGAGAGGAAACCCCCATTCAGGAGGCCGGGGAGGCCCCAGGCAACGACAGACACACACGTACATATACACACACACAGCCTCTTACTCCTGCCTGCGTCAGAGCTCAGCTCCTTTTCCATTCTCTCTGCCTGCCCTTCCCCCTCAGGGGCCAGAGGGACTCGGGGTGCAATTTGCCCAACTTTCAGTCATTCTTAGACTCCCTTATATCCCTGAAGATGTTGGCAGTTTAGTCCCAAACCACCGCTGGCCTCATTTACATGTCTCCATTCAGAAGCCTGTTTTCATGACCATTACAAGACAGGTTCTGGTGAGGAGCATATGATGGAGACTTTAGGCTGAGGAAGAAGAGGAAAAAAGAAGGAAAAAGTCAAGAACTATACAGAAAATTTTTTTTGGGGGGGGGTGAGGCAATTGGGGACAGTGACTTGCCCAGTGTCACACAGTTAGTGTCAAGTGTCTGGTCTGAGGCCAGATTTGAGTCCTCCTGACTCCAGGCCCAGTGTTATATCCACTGCACCACCTAGCTACCCTTATACAGAAACTTTTTACCAAGGACCCCAGAAGTTGTCACAAAGTACATAAAAATACAGAAGCACAGCCCAGATTAGAGTAGTTTAATTGGTTATTATAGCATTGATAACAGACCTGTTGCTGATAATTTAGCCGCCCCAGTGCCAAGAGACGAGGAATGTCTAGAGAGGTACCATCTAATCCTTTTTCCTTGCTCCTCCACCAATTTTACACAAGAAGAGAGTCTCAGGTAGCAGTCTAGGGAAGCAAAGTTACTGACAATGGAAGTAACTGGATTGGGATGGGAAGAGAGCCCTAGACTTTCAGCTGAGTCTTTGTCATCCCCGAATGTGGCAGTACTTCGGGGTAGTTACATCTCTGAGGAAATGCCATTTCTTTTCAGCCAGATTTCTGTTCTGTCCTTTCCCTGACATTCATTCAACTCACAATCTGGTATCTAGTCTGGCTGTTACCTGGTATTGTTGATTGGAAATGTTGGGTTTCAGGGTCATTTGAGGAGCTCAGAATTTGGATTCAAGGTTTTTGTGGCTTTAGGAGAAAGAGTCTCCTTTAGGACATGGGATCAGAGTCTGGCATTAGACTCTCTTTGGAATCTGGATAGAGGATGTAGGGGGGAACTTGTCCAGGTTTACCAGTCCCTTGTCAACTTTCCCTGGCACAGAGATGAGGCTCAGAACCATCAGCCCTTCTCTGTGGGACCCTATAAAAGTAATGGCAATATCCTGGATTGGGCTGCCTGGTGAAATACGCAGCTTTTCCCTGTTATTGGAGGTCTCCAAGCAAAGGCTGGGTGACCATTTGTAAGGCTTATGGCAGAGAAATTCTTGTTCACATAACTAGGTAGATTGAATAGTCTCTGTATAGTCTTTTCCAACTTTGAGATTCTGATTCAGTCAGACAACAAATATTTATTATACTCTTACTATGTTTCAGGCACTGTGCTAAGCTCTGAGGATACAAAGGAAGGCCGAAGATAGTCCCTGCCCTCAAGGAGCCCATAATCTAATGGAAGGAGTTGTTTAGTCATTTTTCAGTCATGTCTGACTCTTCATGACATTGGACCCTTTTGGGGTTTTCTTGGCAAAGATACTGGAGTGGTTTGTCATTTCCTTCTCCAGCTCATTTGATAGATGAGGAAACTGAAGCAAACTGGGAGAAGACAGGCAAATAATTATGGGCAAACAAGCTATATACAGGATAAATTGGAAGTAATCAACAGAAGGTAGGCACTAGAATTAAGAGGGAGTGAAAAAGGCTGCCTGTAAAAGGTGAGATTTTAGTTGGGGAAGCCAAGAGGTGGAGATGATTGCAGCTGTTAGCTCTCTCTCTTTTTTTTTTTTTTGCTTGTTTCCAAATGCTTCCTTTCTGCCTTTGTTGCTATATCCCCACAGAATTACCCTTTGGGGTAGGGAGGGGAGGGCTGGCTCTCAAAGCCTGGGCCTTGGCATTGTGATCTTTTCCTTCCCTTTCCCTCCCTCAAGGAGCTTGTCCCCCCCTTATAGCTATCACCTGACTGTGGCTGACTTCCCCATCTTAGACTCACATCTCTCTCCAGTTGGTCCTCTTCAAAACCCAGCATACAAAACTGGACCTCATTATCTACACTTTCCCTAAAGTGGGCATCTATTTATTCCCTCTCTCCCCCAGTGGCACAGTCTGTCCCTCCCTCATTCTCCTAGTTTCTGAAGCTTGAAGGTATGAGGTTGTTCCTGACTCCTTTCTCTTCACCCCTTAACGTTTAGTCAGTCATCAAAGTCAGCTCTTCTTCCTGCTGAAGGTTAGCTCTTCCTTCATAATTTTCTCATGGATTCCACCCTCCTCATTTTTTCAGCCAAAAGCCCTATCTAGGCTCTTATCACCCCACACCTAGGTTACTGCAATTGACTCCCAATTGGCTTTCTCATCTCCATTCAACATCCTCCCCCACCTAAGTAGCTACAGTAACCTTCCACTCAACCTGTTTTCATTTCATTCCACCCTCGCTCAGGAATCTACAGTGGTTCCCTATAGCCATTCCAAACCCCTCAGCTCAGCCTTCAAGGCCATTGTTCCAATTAGCTCCCCATTCCTCCCCTCTCCAGTTTTACCTTACTCCCCAAGAGTCCCTTCACTTCAACCAGGCCAGGCTTCTGACTGGTCCCAGCACAACAAATGAGCTCTTATTCTACTTTTTTGAGCCTTTGCACAAACCATTCCCTTCTTTCCCCTCCCACCTCCACCAATCCACTGCCAGAGTCTCTTTTTCATTTAACCAATTGTTACTGAGCACCTCCTTCAAGCTTGGGCTCTGAGCCCACCTCCACCAAGAAGCCTGCCTAGACTAACCCCACCCCATCCTAACCACTCCATTCTTCCTGCTCTGTTTTGGGTTTGTAAGTTGCTCAGTAACTTGTTCCATGTGTGTATAGCCTAGCAGCCTGAGAATGGGCAGAGATTTCTGCTTTCTTGGCTCTGGACACAGTAAATAGGCAATGAATACTTGTTGAGTTCAGTAATCTCCCCATGTGACAAGAAAATTGAGGTTCCAGAAAGCTTAGTGACTAGTACAGGGTCATGAAGAAAGAGGCAGAGAAGGGGCCGGAACACCAATTTTCTTGAGTTGGGCTTAGCTCAAAGCACTCTCCAGCCCCCAAATTCTCCAACGTGGCAGCCTTGTCACTATCTGTTCATTCCATGGCACCTTTTTTGGTGCCTCCAGCACTTCTTTCCATAAGAATCATAAGATTTTATAGTTCATTTTATATGTAGGGAAACTGAGGCTCAGAATGATGAAGTCACTTGCCCAAGGCAAGCTAGAACTGGAACACAGGTCTCTTGACTCTCAGTACAGTACTTTTTCCCGTTATATCAAGCCAAATTTCCCTTCCCACCACAAATCCATTATTCTACTTTTTGGTCTGTTTTTGGCTATGTACTAACTTCTGAATCCATTCACTACACTGATTTCCAAGGACCCAATCTGTGGCACCATCCTCAGGACTATTTGGTCCTGGGGAGGGGTAGAAAGAGAAATAGGAAATGAGATCCTCTGGTCCCTGTAAAAGTTTTTGAGTTTGGGACTTCAGATCCAGTATCTAGAATAAGGCTTTGAAGTTGAGATTTAGAAGGTTTATAGGATCAGGGGGTTCATCCCTTGGAAATAGGGGGGTCAAAAACTCTACCCTGGGCCCAGAGAAAGACTTGGGGTGCTAAATTCTTTCCATTGCTGCCTTCTGCCCCTTTCTTCCTACAGAGGGGGAGACTCCAGGTTGAGAAGGGTTAAATGTGGTTTTTCTTCCCCAGCTCAGAAGGGAAGCCAGGCTGGCTGGGTGGGGGGGCAAGATGCCAAAGGGGAGGGGGGCTGAGGCAGACAGGAACAGCATAAGCCCCGTCCCTCACGTTTCTCTGGCTCTCTCCCTCCCCTTTTACACCCCCGATTCCGGTTTGGGGGACAGAAGAGGGAGAACAGAGCTTTTGTTTTGTCGGGGAAGCTGATGTTGGTGGTAGTAAAGTGCCACACCCTAGGAGGGGAGAGAACTGCTAGGGTGGGGAGCCAGGCTTATGGGTCCTTTAGTCTTAAGGATAGGGACAGCCATATGCCTCCCAGTCAGGCAACCACCCTATCCACTCTGCTCTGTCTCACTAGTGATGGGACCCCAGTGTCCCAAGCCCCAGTCTCTTCCCATTCTTCTTGATGTCAACTTGGACAGCCCAAAGTCCTATTTGTTCCTTAGCCCTCCTCCTTCTCTTTGGCCACCCTTGATACCTGGGTCCAGAACTCAGACATGAGAACTCGGGCATCTTCTTTTGACTATTAGAGACTGTGGAACTGAAAAAGAACAATGTAATTCAATTTCCGTGGCTCTTCATTTAGATAATTAACTGGAGGAAGGGGGATTGGGAGAGGACATTAGAATAGGTATACAGCCTGGGTCTTGATATCTGGCCCTGGAGGCTGTGGAGGATAAAGGTGGATAAAGTTAGGGACACTACTTGGGGTATATGGGTAATGGAGTGGTACTAGATACCTGGATTTAGAGTAAGAGCAGAACTCTTCCATAGCTGAGCTGGACAAGATTAGGAACTTCCAAGCCTAGGCTTTGTGAGAGCCCTACAGAGTTCACCAGTCTGCTCCAGAGCCAGCTACAAGTCAGAACTGATCGAGTGGAGAAACCTGGACCTCACTTTTGGTTTCTGGAAAATCAGGGTCAGGGCCAGGGATTCAACAGTCCAGGCTTCCATTCCTTCTGCATCCCCCAGCTCCAACCCACTGCCCCCTTTCTGATGAGAATGGGCATAGGGATTCAGGCATCTGGCCTCTTAGGCCCATGCCTGACTCCCCTCCTCCTGGCCCCTCCAAGAACCACAGGAATCTGGGACCCTAGTGTCCTGGCAACGTGACGCGCGGCTCTGGGCGTCTGTTTTGAATTACTAGTTAAAAATAAGTCTTACAGTTAAAGAAAGGAGAGGGCCTGAAGAGGGGGGAAGGGACCTAGGTATGTTCTTCCTCCCTTCTTCTGGTCCCAACATCTGGCAATCTTAGTTCTAGTTTATGAACCTTGGGGATTTAGTCAGGATGGGATGCAGGTCCCTTGGATCTTGTTTTCCAATCTGGGTTTGGGTTGGAGTGGGATGGGATGGGAGGGAGGGAGGGATAAAGGGCAGAAAAATTCAGAACCTTAAGGTGGGTAGGTGATTTAGATGTCTCAGGTATCCAGAGCTTCCCGAGCCCCTCAACTGAATGCAGGCATCCCTTCCCCCACACCTGGCTTGCTCAAATCTTAGTTGCTGAATGGGCTGCCCAGATGTGGGCAGGAGGGGGAAAGGGGAGGGTGACTCATTGGTTACTATGGTAGGGAAAGGAAAGGGAACCCAGGGGGAGAAGTGGAGTGAGTCACTTCTTGGGTACCAGCCTAGCCCCCACCTGCCTGGGACCCTTTAACTATGCCTTCCCCCAGCTCTACTATTTGGCCCCTATTCCCCCTTCCAGATACTCCTGATCCACCCTTTGCCCATTCCCCCAATCTCGTTTTCACTATTCTGTTCTTAGCCTCTTGAAAGATGGGAAAGCCTTTAAGCCCTGGAAAGACAGATAAGACTCAGACAACAGGGACATCAATCAAAGTTAGAATGTACACAGGGTCTCATGGGGGAGGATGTCGTGAAGGGCCTGGACACCCCCACTCAATTTCATCCTAAGGCCCTACTGCCCACTCTAAGAATTCAGTGGGCATGCTGCTGTCCCTTTAAGAATGTGGCCCCTCCCCTCTTCCCAGGCTTATTTGAGCCTTAGCTCCACAGCCCGGTGACTCAGACTCAGACTGTCCAAGAGCGCCGCGTCTACACTGGGCGGCCTACTTACCCAAGAAGGGTTAAGATCAGAACTCCGGGGAGATCGCACATCCGAGCTCAGAACCCTACCGGGCACCTGTCTCCGAGAGGAGACTCAGCTGCCCGGCTTCTGCAAACCTTCCCTTCCCCGTCTTCAGGTCCTTAATCTTCAGGGACCCCCTGCCCACAGGGCGCTGCCACCCTGCCTGCCATGGATACCCCGTCGCAGCGGCGTGCCACCCGGAGCGGGGCACCGGCGGGCTCCACCCCGCTGTCCCCGACTCGGATCACGCGGCTTCAGGAGAAGGAGGACTTGCAGGAGCTGAACGACCGTCTGGCTGTCTACATCGATCGGGTCCGTTCGCTGGAGACGGAGAACGCGGGCCTGCGCCTCCGGATCACCGAGTCTGAGGAGGTGGTGAGCCGGGAGGTGTCCGGCATCAAGGCCGCCTACGAGGCCGAGCTCGGGGACGCCCGCAAGACCCTGGACTCGGTAGCCAAGGAGCGCGCCCGCCTGCAGCTGGAGCTGAGCAAAGTGCGGGAGGAGTTTAAGGAGCTCAAAGCCCGGTGAGTGGGCCCCAGTTGCGAGAACCTCCATACGGCCCAGGGAAGGGGTATGAGTTGGGAGGGTGGGGTGGCAGTGGTGGTGTCTGTAGCTCCCGAGAGCAAGAAAGCGGCAGGTGGCATAACCTGGGCCAGAGAGAGAGAAAGCATCCGGTCCCCCTTCTGGGAGATCTTCTCAGATAGGAGGATACCATAGGAAGGAACAATTTTTCCTGTTCCAGAGCCCCTAACTCCCTAGATGGTTAGGCTGTCAAATGGCAATTACATGTCAGGTCAGAAGAGCCTCCAAGTAGGGGAATCAGGGGAATGGGTTCATTTGGAGGTGGTGTGGGAAGCAAGTTGGAGAATGCTACCAATAGACTCATATGTCAGGGTGCCTGGGTTCCTGCCTGAAGAATACTGGCTGAGTCCAGATGGGACTTTGCCAGGCTTCTGAAGCCCCAAGGAGAAGATTGGGCAATGACCAACTGGAGCTGGCATTGGCCAGTCAGGAAGTCCTAGAGGTGTTGGGGTGGTTGAAAGGGTCCTGTCAAGTATTACCCTTGCATGAATTGGCACCACGCCTACCTTGCCCAGACTGTCTCCCTGCACGTGGTATACCAGTCAAACCTGGGCTTCCAACCTGGCACAATACCTAGCAGTGCTTTTGTGGGGTGGAGGGGAGGTTTAGAAGACTGCTGATTGCCCCTTTCCCCCCTACCTGGGGGCATGGAAACTTCCTCTTTCAGCCGATGGTGAGCACTAGCACTCTTGCCCTTCTTGGAAGGACTCTGCAAGCCTCCCTTTTTGTAATTTTTGTCCTCTTCCCTACACCCCAAACCCCCAATTGCCTGGGTCCTTTCCTGATTTTTTTTTTTACAGTGGCTAAGCAACAAAAAAAGTTTTTGCCGCCAGAGTTCCCACAGTCCTTGGGCATATGAATAAAAAGAAAGAGGGGAATGGCTAGAGATTCCAGTCTGGACTATGCTGCTCCTGTGTCCTACCCCAGAGGAAAATTGGGGAGGTTATTTACCCTCCGAGCCTAGCACCCTCTGATCTCAGTGAAAGTTCAGTTCTGAGTTGGTGAGAGTCTGTCTTTGTTGCTTGCCTACTGACCCCAAACATTCTTTCTGCCTGGGCTGGTCACTCTCATTTTCTGTGGTCAGGTTTGTGCAACTGTGTCATCTGGTTCATCCCTTTCCTCTCTGACCTTTTCTCTTTGCCTTATTAAAATGCTTGGAGATTATGATTTTTTTGAAAATCAGCCGTTGTAAATTTGCAGCCTCTCCCATGGCCCCTCCTACTCTCCTCCACCCCACCCCACTTAAAAAAATGGCTTTGGGGAGGATTGGTCTTTGTACCACAAGTCCTAAGGCATTTCTTTCTCTAATGCTTGTATTTGAATTCTCCTTAGTGAGACCAGTAAATGTGTTTAGAGGTTCCTCAGTGAATCTGGATTTGGGATCCTGCCCTTCCTCATACTTTCCTTAGTCATTTTCTCTAAAGTCATTTTTTTTCATCTATTCCTCTCTAAAGAATTCCCAGAATATTTCTTGTGCCTTGCCACCTCTCCCCCCACCCCCACCCCCAACCTCTCGCTTTCTGTTAGATTTCATCCTATCCTTTCCCCTCCTTCAATCTTATTCCATACTGGCCCAGGAAAAATCCAAGTTAGTTAAGTGTGAAAAACAACTAATTCTCCTCATGGCCTTGCTTAAATAATTTAGCCCATATTTTTCCCCTATGTGATCTGATTAGTTAGGGAGTGGGAAGGAGGGTGACTAATTAGGACGGGAAGGAGACAGTTGGAGTATCTCATTCATTTTCTGAGTATGATCAAGGTGGAGTCGAGAAGAAATACGTAAGAACTAGTTAATAGTCTTAAATTAGTCCTGCTTTTAGTTCCTTCTGGAAGGAAAGATTTTGGCTGCTATTTTCTTCGGGAAGAACAGTGGGGTTAATAGATCCGTCTCTGAGTTGGTCATTCTTTTCTTGATTTTGAAACTGTTGCCTAACTCTCCTGCCTATTTTGCAGCTGTCCCGTCCTGAGTTCTGGGATGGCAGTGAGTGTGGGGAGGTGGGAGGTGGGGGGAGAGACAGGGGTGTATGCTATGTATGTGTTATATTTAGCCAGCTGCCTCTATTCTCCCCCACAGATCCTGGCTTGGGGTGGGGCTGGGCTTCCGGAGAAGGCTGGGTGCCCTGGGGGCTGTGGGGCTGAGGGTAAATTTCAAAGGGAAGTTGAAGGCTCTGGGTTGGGGTGCCTGGAATAAAGGGGGCTTTCAGATCTTTTTTGTCTCTTTCCACCCCAGGGTGGTAGAGGACTGGGGACAATACTCTTCTCATCCTCCCTGTTTGTACATATAGATGTCTGAGTGCAGGGCAGATGTTTGGACTAAAAGGAAGCATTTGGCTCAGAGCAAAGAGCAGTAACAAGAGGTAGGGAGCTGAGGCTTCTTCTGTAGGTACATACACACACACACACACACAAGCAAGTGTTGATTTAATGTTTAAAAAGAGTTCAGGGCCAGGCGTGGAGATAATCATAGAAGGAGCCAATCCTTCTCAGTCCTTGCCCTCAACAATACCTTCCCTTTACTAAATTCTGGACCCCAAAATTCATTTTGTTAAGTGTGCAAAGCCAAGGCCCCCACCTTGTGGGGTATCTGTGACCCTCATCTTCCTTTTTTCTACTGAGTCAAATAGAATTCACTCTCTGAATCTATGGAAAGTAGAGTCAAAGTTAGGGGAGACCAGGGTCTCGGACAGTCAGGATCAGTAGCTTAGGAAAATATTAGGGGGGAGGCAAGGGGAATAGTGGACAGCTGTATTGGTGATTCACAGTTGCTGCCTTATGATATCCCCACCCTTCGGTGGCAGTGGTGGAGAGGGTGGCTAACAGAAACCTCAAAGAAAGGAAACTGGTACAGACTGATGGATTGTTGGAATGGTGTCTGGGGACTAATAACCAAGAGCCCCGGGTTTCCCCCTCTTTGGCAAGAGTGCTCCCTTTAACCATTGCTTATATTCCTAAGCACTCTGAGATTTACAACATGCTTTCCTGATAATGCTACAAGATAGGAAGTACAGGTAGTGTTAATCCCATCTAACAGACAGGGAATCTAAGGCTCAAAATGGTTCTATTTAATTAAGCTCCTACTATGTGCCAGGTACCATGACAGGTGATGAGGATAAAGAGACAAAAATGAAACAGTCCTTGCTTTCAAGCAGTTTACATCCTCAATACAGAGATAAGTCAATAAAAAAATCTATATATATAATAAATACAAAGTAATTTCAGAGTACAGAGAGCATACTAATAATTGGGGGGGGGGGACCAGGAAAAGTCTGTTGTAGGAAGTAGTACTTGAGCTGAGCCATGAGTGAGCTGAGGACTCCAAGAAGAAAAGGATAAGGAGAGACAACATTACAGGAATGGAGGACAGACTGTGCAAAGGCTGGGCAAAATGATAGAGGAGAAGGGGGCAGCTAGGTGGCGCAGTGGATAAAGCACAGCACCAAAGTCAGGAGGACCTGAGTTCAAATCTGGCATCAGATCAAACACTTGACACTAGCTGTGTGACCCTGGGCAAGTCACTTAACCCCAATTGCCTTAAAAAACAAAAGCATAGAGGAGAGAGGTGAAATTTTATGTAGAAGAACAGCAAGAGGGTTGATTTGACCTGAACATAGAGGGCTCAAGGAGGATAATGTAACAGCAGTTCAGGAAGATGGGTTGGAACGAGATTATGATGGGCTTCAAATAACAAGTGAAAGAGTTTGTATTTTGTCCCTAGAGGCAACTGGGAAAGCCATTGAAGTTTCTTGAGCAGGTGAGTGACATAGCCAGACCTATACTTGCCCAAGTTTTTAGCTTTTTTTTTCATAAAATTTTTGAAAATAATTAATTTATTTCAAATTATCAACAATCACTTCCATAAGCTTCTGAGTTTCAAATTTTTTTCCCTCTCACTCCCCACCTCCCTCCCCAAGATGGTTCGCAATCTGATCTAGGCTATACATATACATTCCTATCGGAGTTTGTAGATTTCATGTCTGAGACCAAACTCAAACACTGTTCTTGTGAGTTGTGTCCTGTGTTCTTTCCACTATGCCACGAAGCTTTTCCATTGGAGAAATCACCTTGTTTGGAACCTCCCTCTTCCCCTAGCCCTTATTTTGAGAGAAAAGGATAAGAAGTAGAGGGGACTGCCTCTCTCCCTTGTTGTTCCTCTTGGAGGGATTCCAGAATCCAGAGTTCTAGGTAGGGAAATGGTTCTGAAGCGCTCTTGTCAAAGTCAAGCTGGAGAGGACTTACAAAGTTATGAGTTGATGAGATGGGAGAGGGACAGAGCTCAAATCCAGACAACTTTGATGCAGTAAATCAGCCCCTTCACCCCTTTCCCCATTAGGGTCCCTGGGGGAGAGGAAGTCTGAATCAGCAGGGGGAGACCCCGGGCTTCTAAAAGCGGAACAGTCTCTTCCCTCTAGACATAGCCCTCATGCTTGATGATTTCCTGGATTGCTCGACCCTCTCAGCTTCTATGCAGACTAGGAGGCTGAGGCTCTGGCATTAAGAAGATTCTAACATTCTGTGATTATAAAAGCTGGAAAGTGCCTTAGAAAGCATGGAGTCCAACCCTCTAATCTGACATGTGAGGAGACTGAGGTCCAGAGTTGATTTTTCAGAATCACAGAATTTTAGAGTTGGAAGGGACCTCAAAAACCACCTAGTCCAACCCATACCCCAAAAGGAATCCCCACTACAACACACCCTACAAGGGGTCATCTGGCCTCCATTTAAAAACCACTAATGAAGGAGATCCTCCAACCTCCCAAGTCATCCCCTTCCAATTATGCAAAGCTCTAATTGTTAAGTTTTTCCTTACATCGATTTTTTTTACAACCATCTGTAAAATGGTGATAATAATAACATCCACCTCACAAGGTTGTGATGAAAATCAAATGGGATAACATATGTAAAGCACTCTGAAAACCTTTAAAAAAAATTAAAAAAACATAAA